GAGAGAGAAGCATTGATCAGCTGCCTCCTGTATGCCCCTTACTGGAGATCAAGCCTGCAACCGGGGCATGTGCCCTTGACATGAATCTAACCCAGAACCCTTCATTGCACAGACCCAACACTCTATCCACTGAGGCAAACCAGTTAGGGCTACACTACTTCTTACAGACTTCAGCCCAGGCAAGAAAAAGCAGGAAAAGGATAAAATTATAAACATCCCTTCAGCAGACCAGACCTCCTGTCACAGAATCAGAGACGTTAAGTAACTTTCCCAAGAACACACAGATGGGACAAGTAAGTCAGAAATGTGACCCCTGGTCTTCCTGAATCCTATGAGTGCTTTTCCCACGAGGATGCTGACTCCAGACCTCCTAATGCCAGGCTCTGCCAGTGCCTCTGCAGACACAGGAAATCTTTGACAAGTGTGGGCACCAGGGAGGGCACTGGGACACCCAACCCACATGTTTGTTCTTTCCAGCTTGGACGTCTCATACTCACCACAGAACAGCCTTCATCTCCTTGCAGAGGCCCAAGTCAGTTTGCCAGAACTTCCTCCCTGTCCCCACCTGCCTGCAGCCCTGCTGGTCTCACCTGGCCCCAGGGTGGTGCTGGGCCACCTTGGTCAGCTCCTCCTCACTGTCGAAGGTCAGGAGCTGCACCCCATGGCGGGCAGCATACTGCAGGTGGGAGACGGGCTTGCAGGGGTGGGCATAGATGATGCGTGAGGGGGCCACGCCCAGGCCCAGCACCTGCTCCAGCTCCCCCTGCCATGGGCAAAGCCAGAGTAAGGGGCTGCTGCCCTGCTTTTTGGGCACAGGAACCACGGGCATGAGGGGCTGTCCTCTACTGAGTCCCTACTGTGCATCTGGCAAAGCACTGGGCACATATTGTGCTATTTAAGCTTCTAGACTGCTCTGTGGAACATATAGTTGAACCCATTTTAAAGACCAAGAAACTGAGGCTCCAGTGAAATGGCTGGGCCAGGACAGAATGGGGTCTGGGGATTAAAGTGCATGTTCCCTCCACTCCTTAGCTCAGGCTGACTGCCCTCGTCACCTAGACCAGTGGAGGGTGGACCACTCCCAGTTCATTCCTTTATTCTTTCACAAACAACTGGGCACCACACACATCAGCCACTGCTCATGGGCTGCTGTCCCCACTTTGAGACACCTGGCAACTGGCCTTTTTCCTCCAGGAACCGTCGTCAGGCCTAATGAGGAAACTGGCTGTGGCCCAAGCTCACCTGGCTGGCACAGTCGAAGCCGGTGCCCAGGGCGGCCAGGACACGCAGCAGCACCGGGCTGCTGTTACACTTCACCGCATAGAAGGGCGAGACCCTTGGCAGGGCCTGGCAGAAGGCCTGGTGGCGGCTAACCAACACTCCCAGGTCGCCCACCATGAAGGGGTCTCGGTGGTCCTGCCAAGGCAGAGAGAGAGGCAAGAGAGGCTGGGCATTGTGTCACTTCAGTGAATCCTCACAGGGTCCCCATGCGGCAAGTACTACTGTTACCCAGTTAGGAAAAGAGGAAACTGCGGCTCTAAAATCTCTTTTCAGTTAGGAAAGGAAACTGCGGCTCTAAAATCTCTTTTTATTTTTTTCCTTTTTTTTGAATACATTCGGGTGTCGCTGGTTAAAAAATTATTATGGTGTCAGGTGCACTACAATATGAATCTTTTTCTCAAGGTCAATAACAACTACATGGCAATGGTAGGGTTTGATCCTTGATCTTCTAACTTTTACAACAGGAAGACAAGAGGGCAAGAAGCTTTATAGACCAAATGGGTCCCAGGACTCTACAACCCACACCCGGATCGCTTGGCACAAGGTGAAATCCCAGGAGCTGGCAGGGGACTAGAAGGGGTCAGGAGAACTATCCCATGCCACCAGGGAACACAGCTATTCAGTAAGACCTAGTAAACTGACTAATAAAACACAAAGTCTTATTTTGTCCCCACCTAAGTAGGGACTGAGACCCACACTCTCCACTCCCCACTCCATGACCTTCCCCTCCCCTCCCTTCTCTCCCCTCACCGAATCAGAGAGCTCCCGGATCTTCTTCAAGACCACCTCCATGGCAGATTCCTCAGGCCCCAGAGGGACGATATCCTTCATCAACGAGTTTCCAGGGTGTCCTTTGTTCTCCTTCGAGTCCATGAGGATGGTGCTCATCCCTGACTGTCCAACAGAGCCCGCTGCCAAGGACACTTCCAGCATCCTGGAAAGGCCTTGCACTGAGGACACTCCTCCCTCCTCCCTCCTCCTCCCAGCACCCTGCTGGCCCGTGGAGCCAGAGTTCCTAGGCCAGTAAGCCCTCGGCCCTTGTGACCTTTCCCATCTGTGGATGGACCACTGGCCAGGCCCAGTCTGCTTCAAAGACCTAGTATGAGACCAAACAAGATGCACAAAATTGCCAGGCCGGTGTTGCTCAGTGGTTGAGTGTTGACCCATGAACCAGGAGATCACGGTTTGATTCCACAGCAGGGCACATGCCTAATTTTCGGGTTTGATTCCCATTTGGAGGCATGCAGGAGGCAGCAGATTGATAATTCTCTCTCATCATTGATGTTTCTATCTCTCTCCCTTCCTCTCTCAATCTCTTTTTATTTTTTTCCTTTTTTTTGAATACATTCGGGTGTCGCTGGTTAAAAAATTATACAGGTGTCAGGTGCACTACAATATGAATCTTTTTCTCAAGGTCAATAACAACTACATGGCAATGGTAGGGTTTGATCCTTGATCTTCTAACTTTTACAACAGGAAGACAAGAGGGCAAGAAGCTTTATAGACCAAATGGGTCCCAGGACTCTACAACCCACACCCGGATCGCTTGGCACAAGGTGAAATCCCAGGAGCTGGCAGGGGACTAGAAGGGGTCAGGAGAACTATCCCATGCCACCAGGGAACACAGCTATTCAGTAAGATCTAGTAAACTGACTTATAAAACACAAAGTCTTATTTTGTCCCCACCTAAGTAGGGACTGAGACCCACACTCTCCACTCCCCACTCCATGACCTTCCCCTCCCCTCCCTTCTCTCCCCTCACCGAATCAGAGAGCTCCCGGATCTTCTTCAAGACCACCTCCATGGCAGATTCCTCAGGCCCCAGAGGGACGATATCCTTCATCAACGAGTTTCCAGGGTGTCCTTTGTTCTCCTTCGAGTCCATGAGGATGGTGCTCATCCCTGACTGTCCAACAGAGCCCGCTGCCAAGGACACTTCCAGCATCCTGGAAAGGCCTTGCACTGAGGACACTCCTCCCTCCTCCCTCCTCCTCCCAGCACCCTGCTGGCCCGTGGAGCCAGAGTTCCTAGGCCAGTAAGCCCTCGGCCCTTGTGACCTTTCCCATCTGTGGATGGACCACTGGCCAGGCCCAGTCTGCTTCAAAGACCTAGTATGAGACCAAACAAGATGCACAAAATTGCCAGGCCGGTGTTGCTCAGTGGTTGAGTGTTGACCCATGAACCAGGAGATCACGGTTTGATTCCACAGCAGGGCACATGCCTAATTTTCGGGTTTGATTCCCATTTGGAGGCATGCAGGAGGCAGCAGATTGATAATTCTCTCTCATCATTGATGTTTCTATCTCTCTCCCTTCCTCTCTCTAAAATCAATAAAAACATATTTTTGAAAAGGTACACAAAACATGCACCTACCATAGGTGTTTGGCATCCTCTTCCAGGCTCCTGCACACACATGTTCCCATTCACAGATGAGAAATATGACCCACAGAAAAGATAAGTGCAGAGTCCACGATCTTTAGATTATAGGGCTAGCTGGGACCCAGGGGGTCATCTAGCCCAACATTCCACTTTACACATGTGGACAAGTGACCCAGAGAGAGGAAAGGACTTGCCTAAGGTCACCAAGTGGCCAGTAGCTGAGCTGGGACTGGCTCCTGGGCCGCCAAAAGCAGCCACTGCACCTGCTGCTGGCCACCCATCCCTGAGACTGAAGTGAGAGCGACCTATAATCTCAGACCTTCTGTTTCAGCAGTTGGGGCTGCACCCATGGGCCCCACTCCACCCCCAGACTCACCTGGTGCCGATCATCACCTGCTTCTTCAGGCCCAGCACAGGGGACCAGGACCTATGGTGTCTTGGGCTTCAGGTAAATCCCTTTGGGAAGAGCAGAACTCAGTTCAGATCTCAGGCCAGGTGAAGTACCTGTGAAGGCTGTCCCTCCAAACCATGGCTACCACGACCCACTCAGCCAAAACTTCCCAGCCCTGTGGGTGGCCCACACAACAGGACCTCAGGGTGAAGTCAGACTCCCATTATAAATGAACACCAGTGATGATCAGAATAGAGAGACCCTGGAGACCCAGTCACCCACCTTCCCACCTCAAAGATGGAAACACCGTGGGCTCAGAGGTCTTCAGACAGATCAGCAAAGCTGGAGTGGAGCTGGGAGTGGAACCTGACCTCAGACTCCAGCTGGTCTCTCCCTGCGCTGTGTCTCTGTCCTCCCTGCACATTTAAATATCTGCCTGGGAGACTCTTATTGGATAGTGAGCCCTCTGAGTCACCTGGTGTCCAGTCACACCCCCACATTCTCACGGTCCTTTCTCTCCATATGGGTTGCTGAGGTCTTACTCTGACTTGTTGGTCCACCCAGGATCAAGCATCAGGCTGAGTCTCTGGGCCTGCCCCAAGGCTTCTCTGACAGCTGTTCAGTCCAGGCCAGGATGGGAAGGTGATAAAGATCTCAGGGACACAGAAGCCAGGCCCTCAGCCCTTCTACCTCTGTGCCAGCTTGAGGAGGGAGGCAGTTCATCTCCTGAACTCAACAAAACATTTGGGGATACAAATTAGCTTTGGAGGGATATTGGTCAGGGTGGTGGTGAATATAATGTCATTATTAGTGCTTACTCACCACCAAGCGCCCTGCCATGTATCAAACCATTTAACACTCACAAAACCTTATGGATATAGTTGCAATTATCTTACAGGTAATGAAACCAAGGCACAGCGAGGCAGGATAATAATAGAATCTATTTACTAGGATCACAGAGAGTGCATGAGATAATGCATGTAAATCTCATATCTAGCACCTTCATATTACGGGTTAAGAACTCATGAAAGTGAGAGGGAAAACCAAGTTGGTGGCCTAGGTAAATGCCAGGACTCGCTTCCTCTCACAACCACATCAAAATTGCAACTAAAATACAAAACAACCATCATTCAGGTCTGGCTGAACGCTGTCTGAATGGAAGTCCTACAACTAGAGATTTAAAGAAGCACACCAATACTGGTAGGAAGGGTAGAGGCATGAAACCAGCTGTTCCAACACCCATGTGAGGTGTGTTTTTAATCAGGAGGATATCTTGGCTGCAGAGGCCTCCCATGAGGAGCAAAGGCCCCCAGCCTCTTTTCCGTATGAATAGCCTGTCCCCTCAGCCCAGGATTCCAAGCTGTGATGAAATCTCCCTATAACTTTGGGCTATAAAGACAAGCTGGGATTGTAGCTGAGTGACATGGAGGCTGTTGGAGACCCAGGCAGTTCCTCTTAAAGGGCTGGCACACAGAATTATCAAACTCACTTCCTCTGAGCTCCAGTGCTGGGGCAGCAGCTTGAAAGGATCCAGGGATATATAGGTAGTAACTAAATTGGCATCAGGACAAGAACGCCAAGACAACTTTCTCCTAGACAAAAGTGCTAGAAGGGTCACTGTTCCTATGCTGAGGCCTCCCCTGCTGAAGAGCTGACTGACAGGCACTATATCTGACTTTCCATCAACCTGGCTCACACTGTTCACTCTACCCTGGTGATTCAAGGAAATTAGTGAGAACATCAAAGACATAAAAATGGACCAGTCAGAAATGGAGGATACATTAACTGAAATTAAGAATCATTGACAGGGAATCAACAGTAGAATAAAGGATTCCAAGAATTAAATCAGTGATTTGGATTATGGGGAAGCTAAAAACACCCAACCAGAAGAGAAAAAAAAAAAAAATAAATAATCTGAAGATAGTGTAAGGAGCCTCTGGGACAACTTCAAACGTACCAACATTTGCATCATGGAGGTGCCAGAAGGAGAAGAGTGAGAGCAGTATATTGAAAACCTATTTGAAGAAATAGTGACAGAAAACTTCCCCTACTTGGTGAAAGAAATACACTTTTAAGTCCAGGAAGTGCAGAGGCCCACACCAAAACACATCTTAATTAAAATGCCAAAGGTTAAAGACAAAGAGAGAATCTTAAAGCAGCAAGAGAAAAACAGCTAGTTACTCACTAGGAAGCACCCACACGACTATCAGCTGATTTCTCAACAGAAATTTTGCAAGCTAAAGGAAGTGGCAAGAAGTATTCAACTTGGTGAGTAGCAAGGACCTACAACCAAGATTACTCTACCCAGCAAAGCTATCATTTCGAATTGAAGGTCAGATAAAGAGCTTCACAGGCAAGAAAAAGCTAAAGGAGCTCATCACTGTCAAACCAGTATTACATGAAATGTTGAAGGGTCTTCTTTAGGAAAAAGAAGAAGGAGGAGGAAGAAAAGAAGAAAGAAGAGGAGGAGGAGGAAGAGGAGGAGGAGGAGGAGATAGAGAAGTAGGAGAAAAGAGATAAATATGTGAACAATAAAATGGCAATAAATACATATCTACCAACAATTGAATCTAAAAATTGAAATAATTTGCCCTAGCTGGTTGGGCTCAGTGGATAGAGCATTGGCCTACAAACTGAAGGGTCCCGGGTTTGATTCTGGTCAAGGGCACATGCCCAGGTTGCAGGCTCGATCCCCAGTAGGGGGCATGCAGGAGGCAGCCAATCAATGATTCTCTCATTGTTGATGTTTCTCTCTCTCCCTCTCCCTTCCTCTCTGAACGCAATAATAATATTTTTAAAATACATAAATAAAATTAAAATAAATGTACAAGAAATCTAATGAACAAAATAAACTGATGAATAAAATAGAACCAGAGACATGGAAACATGGAATAGACAGATGAATCCCATCAGGAGGTGAGGAGAGGGGGTCAGAAGAGGCAACTAAAAAACTTATATGCATATATTCATTACCTAAGGACACAAAAAATAAGGTAGTAAAAGCCTGGGGCAGGGTGAGAACAGGGTGGAGGCGGGCAATGGGGGAAAAAAGGGAGACCTCTGTAATACTCTTGACAATAAAGATTTTTTGAAAATAACTCATTAAACTAGTTTATGATAATAATGATGTTA